GAGAGATCCTTTAGGGAAACCCTAGGGTTAGGGCTATATAGTGGTGTCTTGCGTAGGGGGCTATTCTTCCTTTTATAGTTAGTTGCATGACTAAAGTCAAGAAAAGACATCAAGGAATTGCTCTTCCTTATTCAGAAAGGTGCTCATGATCTGCTGGGCATTTATTGGGTCATGCCAAGTCCGAGCATCGAAAAACGGTTCACTTGGGCTAGAAATGGAGTCGCCACCCATCAGCTATTGAAATGGAGGTGATGGGACCTCTATGAAGTATGTCAAAACCATTTTTATCTAAAAGTGACTCCAACGGCCTAAGGCACTGGATAAACTAGTTAGGGTAAGGCTCAAATGGGAGAGGGAAGGGGTTAGGCACCCCTTTCCCAGGTCCAGTAGGTGGGGCCCACATGAGAATCCAAACAACCACAATCACAAATTTGCCATTATTTAATCAAAAGCATAACAAAGATAATGAAAGCAACAAGTTAAGAACAAACCAACAAAAGAGAATCTACCCTATCAAATTTTATTCATTATTAAATTTTTATTCTTTTATTTTTTAATATTTTTGCTTTTTTATATATTCTTTATTTTTATGTTCATTTATTTTATTAATTTTTTTATTTATTCTCTTATGGTTCCTATTGTTTATTTTGCTTGTTGATTATTCACCTCATTTATTTATCCTATTTTATTAGTTTTTTATTCCTATTTATTCATTTTTTAATCTTTTCTTTTAATATATTCACTTTATACGACTAACCACTTTTAGTGATCCATTTTCCCTTCTTGTTCCTTATCCTGCACATGTGTTAATTAACCACCCAGATTTATTGATAAAATCCATTTCACAGTTCTTTTATTCCTATTTTGTGCATTTTATATTTTCATTTCTAGTTTGTTTTATTTCGTGAGATCGGTGCTTTCTCCTTCCATTCTAGTTCTATAAATAAAGAGATCTTTGTTCTAATACTCGTTTCCTGTCATTGCTCTATAACTTCCTTCTCTCTTTATCATTTGCTTAATATTTGTTTTCGTTTCTCATTTAGCTTCGAGAGTTGGTCGGTCAAGCGGACCTAAATCAGTCAGGATATTCAATTCAGACGCACCCATTCAATCCACTACAACCATAAAGAATTAATCCTTTCACCAGCTTATCAGTCGAAGAAAACCATAACCAAAACGTATAGAAGAGTTTGGTTTCCCCTCTAAATCACTACCAACATGACCACTTTCAAGGCCCGTATGCAGAGACCCCATCATCATCTTTATCATTCATCACAGGGGTCTCATTATCAATTCTGGCGCTGATCAAAATTTACAGAGAATAGATCAACTGAGCTTCCCAGTAACTTATAGAAGGATGGAGAAGATAAAATAAAAAAAAAGAGAGGAAATTACAGGTGAGAGGGGCTTACCTGAGTCGTATGTTGACCTGAGAACGATCGATGAACAAGAGGAACCGGCCGAACTTAAAGGTGCGCGTAACTCGTCTTCAGACCTCACGAAGCTAGATCAGGAGATTAATGGAGCATAAAGGTAGGTCCAAGAGTGAGCTTCACTGATTGGTCGAGGGTGAGAGCTTAACGTTGTTGCATCCATTTTCACTTCATGAATGATGAACACAGAAGAGATCTTAGTCGGTTTCAGTCTCAGATCATTAGCTTCTGATTCGGGTTCTAACTAGGAGATTGGGGAAAATGGTGATGCCTCAGAGATAGGTTGCTTTGAATTCCAGAGGTGACACAATTGAGCTACTGTTGCAATCGAAAGATTTGCACTATTGAGTGTTTGTTGCCACTGTCAAAAGGTCAGGGATGATGAACAACAAAAAGAAAACTGGGAAGATTGGCAGAGATAGAAAATGATGGAGAGAGAGAGAGAGAATCAGCGAGAAGAATATGAGGGAATGAGAGAAATTGAGGAGTAGGGGTTGTCGCTGCTGGTTACATTCAAAGACACCGCTGCAACAACTTGCGGCGGTGAGAGATCTGTTTGGGGTCAGGGATGCCGTAGAGACTGAGATAACAAAGAAACAAAAGGAGAGAGAAAGGGGGAGGGAGGAAGAAAAGAGGTTAAGAGAAAGGGAATTTTGCCACCGTTGTTCAAGGAAGAAGATGATGAACAATAGATTTCTTCCGTGTATGAGAGAGTTTTACTTATAAGGGGGTCGGTGGCATTTTGGTAATTTTTGGGAAATCTAAGGGTATTTTTGTAATTTTGGTATATGTGGTCAAACCATAGTTTTCAAAACCAGACCGGACCAGACGGTCGGACCAAAAAAACCGGCAACCGGTCATCCCCTGAGTCTGATTATACTATAAACCGGCAATTCCTTAAAAAACGTTGGATAAGTCAGAAAACCGCTGACCCGGGCGGTTGAACCAATCATAATATGAAACAATTATGTACTTTTACTCATATACAATAAATGTATCAGTACATCAATCTGATTGGAGCTAAAGGCATATACTGTCTAACATAGTGTAGTACCATAATTAAGTCTAATGGTTATGTGTAACTTTGTAGTTTTGTCCATCAATCTGCAAGGTCCAAGACATCTGAAAAATGGTCCGAGTTCAGTGTTTCAACCAAACACACACTACATGTGCTTTGGATCTAACCTTAGCAACTGAGAGAAGTTGCTCCAACTTCTTTGGTAGCAGATCAATGCCAGCCTTGATAGGATAAACTCCCCAAGTCTATTCAATGGCTGAGAACATTCTAAACTAATACAATTCTAATAAGTGTCCAATTTAAGGGATAATTTCATTGAAACATACCAATATCAACATGAAACAATAATGTACTTTTATTTATTTACAATAAATGTATCTGTACATCAATCTGAATAAAACTAAGGGCATACACTGTCTAACACCTACAATGACACTAGGTTGCTTTGGTAGACCAGAAAGAACCTTGCACAAATGTGCCAACGTATGAATTTTGTCACTCTAGAAGCATTGGCAACAAACACACTCCTATTACGTCAACACGAACAATGATTAGATTCTCTAGAAAGTACAAGTCTTGCACAAAAACATTTTGTTGATGTAGAAGCTATGGAGAATGTAGCCACGGTCTTCATGGCGCCAAAATTTTCCATTGTTAACCAAACATCCCAATTGATAATATACAAATAATTTCCAAAGGATACAAGGAATTATCATAGAAATGGCAAATTTGAACTCACCAGAAAATGCAAAACTGGATAGTCATGTAGCTTGTAATGTTAGCCTGGAGGGCTGATCTAGTGTTTCACCAGTAATCATTGCAAGAACATTCCCCACCCTTAAAATGATGAAATCTGTTTGAATCTCTAACAATAATTTCGCGACCTGTAATATTAGATACCTGCTTTCCAAATTCATGGCAGTCTTTACAAGCACGCATGTTTTTGAAGACCAAAATAGGGACATTACTAGGCAAGGATATTAGCCCAAAAGCAATTGCAAGCCTTTCACTGTGGTCAAGAAGTTGCTCTTTTCTCTCTTTTGGCAATACATACAGTGCATCGTCAAGACTGGGGTATTCAATCTTGTGATGCTTAAAAACCAAACGACTCACCTCTTCTAGCTTGGAGTGGATTTCTTCTGTTTGTGGGTGATGTCTATCACCCACAATAAATCTGTGTAACTTTCCCCGAACAGTAATCCAGCTGCAACCAACATCCTTCTTTAAATCTCTTTCAGCCATCACTTTTCTAATTCGGGCTGCCTCATCCCATTTACCAGCAGAAGCACACAAGTTAAACATGAGAACATAACCTGCAATATCTTCAGGGTCGAGTTGAAAGAGGTTTTCTGCTGCATGTTTCCCGATTTTGACATTACGGTGAATGAAGCATCCACCCAGTAAACTTTTCCAACTCATAGCATCAGGTTCAAATGGCATGGTTTTTATCAGTTCAAGGGCCTCTTCCAAAAGACCTGCACGAGAGTAGATATCAACCATGCAATTGTAGTGATCAATACTTGGTTCTACACCATACTCACTGGCCATTGAATTCAAATATCGCCTCGCCTCTGAGACCAATCCTGAATGGCTGCAGGCAGTGAATATGCCTATAAATGTAATAGCATTGGGTCTCACACCCAAGCCTTGCATTTTCAAAAACAGCCTCAAGGCTTCTGAAGCTTGACCATGATAAGCATAAGCAGCAATCATAGCAGTCCAGGCCACAATATCAGGTTCCCGTATCAGTTCAAAGGTTTGACGAGCATATTCTAACTTGCCAGATCTCGAGTACATAGTAACCAACGCACTTTCCCCATATAGGTCCGAAACAAGGCCTCTCTTTATGGCATCGCCATGTACTTGAACCCCCAAATTCAAATCCCCAAGCATTGAACATGCTTGAAAGATGCTAGTATAAATAAAAGAATTCAGCTTCTTGTCCTTGCTCCTTATCAATTTAAAAATTTCAAGAGACTCTTCGAACTTGCCAACTTGCAAATAGGCAGTGAAGACCGAACTCCATGATACATCATTTGGGTAAGAAATCTTCTTGAAAGCCCGACAAGCATCCCCTAAACTTCCACATTTTCCATAAAAATCCACGAGAGGAGTTCCCACTGAAACCTCATCGTCCATACCAACTTTAATAATGTAACCATGAACCTGCATTCCAACACCCAAGTCCCCCAAATCGCAACATGCTTTTAGAACAACTGAAAATGCAAACTCATCCAATTGAGTGCTGTCTACTAGCATTCTGACAAACAGTTCCAAAGCTTCATCCTGTCTCCCAGCTTGAGTATACCCCATCATCAACCCTGTCCAAGTTACAGCATTCTTATGAGCCATGTTATCAAAAACCATCTCAGAAGTTTCTAAGCAACCACACTTTGCATACATGTTAAGAAGGGCAGTTTCAACCAAAACATTAGGGATCGACCCAGTTCTAATCGCATAAGAATGTATTTGCTTCCCAAGAAACAAACATGAAGGGGAAACAATATTCCTTATCAAGCTAACATAAACCGATGGGTTCACTTCATGCCCCGCTACCTGCATGTCTGAAAATAAACTGACAGCTTTAACAAATATCCCATTCTGTGCATAGGCAGATATCATGAGACCCCAAGTAATTGAATCCTTTCCTGGCATTTCATCAAACAATTCCCGTGCATCTAATAAACTCCCACAATCACAGTACATTCGCAGAAGACAGTAGTCGAGAAACCTAGAACGGTTCCTAGCTGTTCTCTGCATGTGCTCGTGAATCAGTCTTCCATCCACTAYATTTTTCATTTTTCCACATGTTTCCAGGAGACATTTATAAGAATAATTATCAACAGAAATACCGGTCGAGTCCATTTCCTCAAGAAACTCAAGGG